CTAGAACCAGAATTAGAACCAGAACCACAACCAGAACTAGAACCAGAACTAGAACTACGACCCGAACTAGAACCAGAATTAGAACCAGAACCCAAACCAGAACTAGAACCAGAACTAGAACTCCAATCAGCACTGGAACCCAAACCAGAACTAGAACAAGAACCCAAACTAGAACCCAAACCAGTATCAGAACTAGAACAAGAACTAGAACATGATGCTGGGCAGAGCAAAGGAACGTCTACATGATGGTGGGTAGAGCAGAAGAACGTCTACATCAGCGGTCCCCAACCTTTTTTGCACCACGGACCGCTATATGTCAGACAATATTTTCACGGACCGGCCGGTGGGGGGTGGGTGGATACGGTCAAGTAAAATGATACGATTGGCGTAAAATCAGCATAAAATCAGCATAAAAATAAAACAACAAGCCGGTCCCATCTAGGCGTAATCGGAGACAATGACACACGAAGTGTGCTCTTGATGTCCGGTCTGCTCTGTAGCTTTGTTTTGGTCGCTGTAACTGCAGAAAATCCCACTTCACAAAGATAGGATGTTATAGATAGGATGAGTCTTGAACTGAATTAACCTGTGTCAAGAGGCACAGATGCACCGACTGATGGAATTGGGAGAGAATACTGCAATTTTTTATATTTTTCAAAATAAAACATCACTCAGACTCTGATCGTCGATAAATTATATATTAAATACATATATATATATTTTTTTTTTTCTGTGCGGCCCGGTACCAAATGACCCACGGACCGGTACAGGTCCACGGCCCGGTGGTTGGGGACCGCTGGTCTACATGATGTGGTTAGAGCAGAGGAACGTCTACATGTTGGTGGATAGAGCAGAGGAACGTCTACATGGCGGTTAGAGCAGAGACATATACATGATGGCGGGTAGAGCAGAGGAATGTCTACAGGATGGTGGCTAGAGCGGAGCAACGTCTACATAATGGCGGTTAGAGCAGAGGAACGTCTACATGTTGGCGATGAGGGCAGATGAACGTCTACTTGTTGGCGGTTAGAACAGATGAACGTCTACATGATTGTGGTTAGAACAGATGAACAACTACTTGATGGCGGTTAGAGCAGAGTATGGTCTACATGAGGGCGGTTAAAACAGGAACGTCTACATGATGGCAGTTAGAGCAGAGGAACGTCTACATGATGGCGGTTTAAGAAGAGGAACGTCTACATGACGGCGGTTAGAGCGGAGGGATGTCTACATTATGGCAGTGAGAACGTAATGGTGGTAAGAGCAGAAGAACGTCTACATGATGGCACTTAGAGCAGAGGGACGTCCACATGATGGCGGTTAGAGCGGAGGAATGTCTACATGATGGCGGTTAAAAGAGGAACGTCTACCTGATGGCCGTTAGAGCAGAAGAACATCTACATGATGGCCGTTAGAGCAGATGAGCGTCTACATGATGGAGGTTAAAACAGAAACGTCTACATGATGGTGGCTAGAGCGGAGCAACGTCTACGTTATGGAGGTTAAAACAGGAACGTCTACATTATAGTGAGTGGAGCAGAGTTAAAATGGATTCTGAGATGATTTTCAGGTTTAGTCCTATGATGGCTTCATAAACACGGTCCTCCAGCTTCACTTTTTTCATTTCCTGACAAATTTATATCCAGCAGTAAAAAGAAAACGATGACCATGGAACCCTGCAGACCAGAGGACGGTGGTCATCATCGACCTTCATCACATCGACTATGTGATGTGTTGAGGCTTCAGCCTGTGGAACACGGTTTGATGGATGCATTAAACAAATGGGAGATCAATAAAAAGGAGCAGCTGAAGGCAGCCAGCTGACAGCTCTGCTCATTTTCTACTGTAGACTGCAGGCTCGAAGCCCACCGTAGAAATAGGACAGTCAGAGCTGCCTCTGTGGGAACATTTCCCTCCATTCCTGCTTCCCCACCTTCGGTCCGTCCAGCTCTAGATCTGCAGCTTCACTCCTAAAGATAAGCAACATTCAGACATGTCGGAAATGACTCTGGTTAACAGAAGAAAGTAAATATTTGAACATTTTAACTAATGTAGGAATTCACTGAAGCAGCAGATAACTTTCATCTTTTAAATCTCTATAAACCTGTTTCTATCAGAGGTCTTTGAACCCAAAGCAGACGGTCTCTGAGTTTAAGGTTTTTCTTTCCGGTCGATTGAAAGGCCAGATGTTGACGGCTGGTTCTGCCATCCCTCAGCGTCCATCTGTCAGCAGCGGCATCCCGGCAGCGGGAGGGCGGCCGCCCACGTCATGGCCGACCTCTTGGAGGGTCCACATGTGAGATTAAGGTCACTTTATCACATCAAACATTTCAACCAACGAAGAAGAAAATGTTTCCCGCCTGATCCGGGCTGACCTTTGAACCCGGTCCGCTGCGTTCTGCTCTCCCTCAGAGGAACTGTAATCCTATCTGGGACAGATTGGAGCTGTTATGTAACCTTCAGCTGCTCTGCGTTCCTTTAGCTTCCTACTATCTGCTGAGTCATGTTAAAACAAACCGGGCTCTCCATCAGAACCGGGCTAACAGCCGGGGTGGGGGGATTAGGATGGAACATCTGGATATTAGTGATATATTTAGAAAGAGAGTCACTCTGATTCATGGATTCCTGTGTGGATAAGAAATAAGGGTTAAGGTTATTTATTATGGGAGCGGATACAGAGATGGACTCAAAGATTTATGAAAATCCTCCACTATACCTTCAATAGTGAACTGAACTAAACAATTCAAGATCAGGATCAAACCTTCAGGATGCCAGCGCAGGTTGTTGTTAAACAAGCTGGCTTTCACTGGTGCTGGTTATGATGCATATCGTTCACCAGGACCAGTCGCCTTCTCAGGAGCTCCATCCAGGTCTCATGCTTAGCTTCTCCCAGCCTGCTTTCTCCAGACAAACCTGCAGAACATCTCCTTCTGAGCCGTGGATCAGTTCCTGTCCTGCACATCCTGAGGAATTCCAAAAAATTTTCAAAATCGATCCACTGGACTTTGTTTTTAAGTTTGAAGACGTTTCCTTTCCCATCCAGGAAGCTTTTTCAATTCAAAATGTCAGAAATAGTTTTGAGTTCCAGGTTTTATACAGTAGCAAACATGAAAATTGAAACAGACGAACGGGTCCACCCCTTTGGAATGGGGGTAGTTTGTGTTCTTTGTTAGCCCGCAATGCCCCTTACCTGTCTATGTCTCTGAAAGGGGGTCGATTGGGGGGATTATTGGCCTGGCTGAATAGGTGAGGTCTTCTGTTCCCCTGTAAAGGGTTTAGGGTTGCGATAATAGCGAGAAGGAATCAAAGCCTGGAACTCAACGCTATTTCTGACATTTTTTAATTGAAAAGTTTCCTGGATGGAAAGAGAAATGTCTTCAAACTTGGAAAGTCTAGTGGATTGTTTTTGAACTTTTTTTGCAATGACTATGACCTGGATGACTGAGAACCTTCACCAACATCCTGGGGAATACTGAATGTGATTAAAGTCAGTGAGCAGAAATTCTTGTGCAAATGATCGACTGTAGCAAAGGAACTGTTTCCATGTTTATGAGTCAAAGATGATGAAAGATAAACCACGATGATGCTCACAGTGGGTCTGACTGTATGCTCTATAGGCTTGAGTGATTGGTACCCATGAGAGCGTTAAATACCTGAATGAATGGAGAATATTTGTAATACTATGCTGTTGGTTGCCCTGCAGACCTCATGCTGACCTACTGAACCATCTCCTCCTCTCTGTGTTTGTGTCGCCATTCACAGCATCCCCCACCGTGCGGATCGTGCACGCAGGTCAGGCCTGTAACGTGGAGGAGGAGCAGTACAGTGAGAGGGTTTACACCATCCGAGAGGGAGAGACACTGGAACTGCAGTGCCTGGTCACCGGACACCCCCGCCCTCAGGTAAGCATGATCTGAATGTGGATCTGGGTCGGTACCAGACTGGGACCGGTCCACAGGGGGCATCAGTGGATCACGCTCAGACTAGGGCTGCAACTGACCATTATTAATCTGTCTACAAACGTTTTAAGTAATCGATTAATAATTGGGTAGCCAAAGATTCCTTACAGAAGGCTTTTTATAAAATGAAACCAGGAGAAACTAAAACTATTTCACCTGAGAAGTTCTGGATAGAGCAGATTGACAGACGAAAACATTAAATGCAAAATATTTATAAATCTTTTTTTGCAATCTTGGTATAATTCCTGCTCTAAGAGCGTCACTCAGCTAAAGGCATGTTTTACGGTCTCTATAATCAGGATTGATCTAATTAATTGTTCAAGCCTTAGTTAAGACCTAAAATAGAGCAACATTTAAGGGATTCTGGTTCCTTTGGTGGTTGATCATGACCAGAGGAACTCATGAGTCTAATCGGCTGCTTCTCACCTGAGGTCTGTTTCATGAAGCAGGTTTACTAAAAACTCCACGTTATCTAAACCTCTGTTTCTGTTGCCATAGTAACACCTTCCCAGAGCTAATCTGGTCAGCAGCAGGTTTCCTTCAGTAAACTCAGTTTCCTCTGTCTCTGCTCTCCTTACAGCCAATCACACTGTTTTAGTTCCAGATTTAGTCTGATTTTTCTCATAGTTTTCTGCATAAAAAAAAATAAAAGCATAGGACGCATTAGGTTTTAAAAACAAACATTGCTTGTCCGTACGAGGATCTTATTAAAGAATGGTCGGCATTAATTCACAGAGAATTAAATATTTATAGGGAGAGGATTCTCCAAATACATGACAAGATAGGAGATTACTGCTTTTTGGTTTGTTTAATATGAATGAGATGTGGCTCATTTTATTTTTATTTAGTTATATTTACATTACATTAAGAACTTTTGAAATTGTTTTCAGATTACACATAAATGAATTCATTAATTTCCCGGAGGAAAAGGAATTATTTTAAGGTTAGGATTAGGATTCACTCGATGATAACAACCCACTGAGCCTACTGGCAAAATCTGAAGCCATCCTATGGGACTGATAGCCGCTAATAACGGCCATTTATTGGGATGATAACATCTGAAGCACGGCTGCAAACAGCCACTCAGTTTTTACTGTGTGAAAGAAGACATAATCAACATGAAGAGGAACCCATGAGACGATGTACAGGTTCTATCTATTAGAATGTTTCTAGACCTCATCCTCACCTGCTGACAGAAGAATTCCCCTAAATGGATCCATTGATCCACTACCATTCAAGAAGTAATCCAGTAATGTTATCTATTGTGGTCACAACAGGTTATGGCAAGCAGTTTGATATTAATTAGCTTTACTAAACATGCATTCCTGATATCTGAAAAAAAAATAGTTATTTGTCTAAATGATAATTTTGAACAAAATGACATTCTTCCCATCTAGAATAAACATTCTGGATGTCTAGAAATTATTTTCAGATCTCCTGGTCAGCATTTGTATTATTCTAGCCATGAAAAATGTTTTTCAGGTATCATAAATACATTTTCAGTCAAGCTGACATTTTTAGATATATAAAACTTCATTCTTACTACTATAATTTAGTGTTTTTTTATTTTCTGAAATTCAGTTTCTGCTGCAAAAATGTAATTTATAAATTCTATTATTATAGTTCAGTCTAGCAGTGTGATTCTGATGAGGAAGAATCTTATTTTACTGATTTACAAATTGAACAACAGAGAGGCGAGTGCTTTTAATAAATGTTAAAGTGGCCTGCCATAGCGCATTTCATATAAACTTATTAACTCGAACAACAATCTTCACCTTCACTATCTTCTTTCTCTGTTTTTTAAACACATTCTTCAGTTGTCATTAAAATCTCTATTTTCTACTTCCTGTTGCCTGTTGTCATGGTGACTCGTTGAATCCGGGCTTCACTGATAATGGCTTTTAAAAGTTGTTATGCACGTGCTAAACTCTGAGCGGATCTACTTGGAGATGGTTGAACAAGATGATACCAGCCGTTGAGAAACCCTAAAACTCAGAGTTCCCGACTTTAGGCCAGCTCAATTTAGAGTTGAGGATTTGAATCTGAGTTTGAAATGGATCCCAGAAAGGCCTTTGGGTTCTACGAAAGAAAAAACTATCAACATTTGATTGAACCAGCGTTCATTGAACTGCCTATGATGAAAGAAAGAAAGGAAGTTTTTCTGTATTGATGTAAAGCGTTAATCTGGGTATCGCTGGAGCTCACAACTCCAGGTTTGCTTCTGTTTTAGGTGGTAGGGCTTCATTTGGTTCAGGTTTATGGTCTGCTTAATCAGAGTCTTCTGTCCCATACGATGGTTTTAGTTCATCGGATTCCATTTCTCAGAGACAATCTAACGCTTAGAAATGCAGCAACAGTAGCTGTTAGCTTGTTATGTAACAGACCTGTTTTTATTGGATTGACCTGCTGTCCAACTTTCTGCAAAGCCTCGGTAATGATGATACCGACTGGTTTTAGCCCTCCTGACCAGTAAGAGGCGTCCTCATGCCAGCCTGCCCTCTGTTCATACTGCTTGTGAGCTGGTTCATAGTCCACCAGCAGAAGCTTTCCTGCAGCAGCAGCCTTGGTGCTCCTTCTGAGACCCTTCAATGAATAGCCTGACTGACATTCTAAGCCTGACTGATGTTCTAAAGCCTGGTTGACATTGTACAGCCTGACTGGCGTTCTAAAGCCTGGTTAACATTCTAAAGCCTGACTG